TTTCAGACAAAGAAAACCAGTAAGATGGCCGGGCGCAGTGGTTCACACCTGTAATCTCAGCACTTTGGGAGGCCAAGGTGGGTGGATTACTTGAGGTCAGGAGTTTGAGAGCAGCCCCACTAACATGGTGAAACCCGCCTCTACTGACAGTACAAAAAATGACTGGGCATGGTGGTGCTTGCCTGTAGTCCCAGCCACTGGGATGCTGACACCGGAGAATCACTTGAACCTGGGAGGTGGAGGTTGCAGTGAGCCGAGATCTCCCCATTGCACTCCAGGCTGAGTGACAGAGGGACTCCGTCTCAAAAAAAGAAAAAAAAGAATCAGTAAGATGACCTAACCTCATGCAAATATGTAGTTGGTAAAAGGTGTATTTTTAAAGTTTTCAGACAGTTGTGGGTATTCTTTAATACTAAATCAAAACTTCACAAGTGCTAGTTTCTTAAATTACTTACAGTGGCATTTTCCATGTTAATAAATTTATTCCATCAGTACTCGTTGATCTTTCTTGCACAGTAAATGGATCTTTCCTCCCATACTTGCATTTCTAATGTTATGCATTAGTTACTTGGAATATATTGGTTTATGTTTTATTATGTCAAAAATCACTTTTAGTTTAACCACCAATCTTACTTTAAAACACCTTTAACTATTGAAAAGCTGTCAAGCCTAGTAGCAGGAAGAAGTTTTTCAAAGTCCTCAGGAAAGCTTACATTTTATCGTTGGGAACAAATACTTACTTTCCTTGAAGGGACAACCTCTCCATTTATTTTTGAGAATGATAGTTGTACTTCTTTTTTTAGACTGAGTCTCACTCTGTCACTTGGCTGGAGTGCTTTGGCATGATCTCAGCTCCAGCAATCCTCTCACCTCAGGCTCCTGTGTAGCTGGGACCACAGATGTGTGGCACCACGCCAGGCTAATTTTCTTGTACTTTTGGTAGAGACAGGGTTTTTTTTATGTTGCCGAGGCTGGTCTTGAACTGCTGAAGGAGCTCAAGCCATCTGCCAGCTTTGGCCTCCCAAAGTGCTGGGATTTTACAGGCATGAGCCACTGCGCTCGCCCAGTTTTACTTTTAAATAAAAACGAAGTTCTGTGAAAAAATTGGTTGTTCAGTTCACAATTAAATCCCGAATTCCTTTTTTTTTAAACAACACCACCACCACCAACAACAACCGTACTGCAGTCAGCAGAAGCGCTTCTTATTAACTTTTCACTTATTCAGAATATTAAGGAGACATGTCAAGATTTAGTAACATTAATTTTTACTGCTTCATCAAAGACATTCTTAAGTAATTCAGGCTGTCTTTTTTAACTGTAGGGGACAGTAAAGAATAGAGTGACTAATGTAATTGGTACCACTGCCTTGATTTATGCTGAGAAACCAGCAGTTTTACCCATTTTTACTTTTATACAATCATGACAAGTGTCAACAAAAAAGCAGGTAATGATGTTGTATTACTTTTACAAATTTTTAAATTTTTTAATCAGCTTTCTCAGTTTTAATTCATATGATTCAGAACAGTGTTGACCAGGCACAGTGGCTCAGGCCTGTAATCCCAGCACTTTGGAAGTCCGAGGCAAGCAGATCACCTGAGGTCAGGAGTTCAATACCAGCCTGGCCAACATGGTGAAACCACATCTCTACTAAAACTATAAAAATTAGCCAGGTGTGCTGGCGGGCACCTGTAATCCCTGCTACTCGGGAGGCTGAGGTAGGAGAATCACTTGAACCCGGGAGGCAGATGTTGCCGTGAACCGAGATCGCGCCATTGCACTCCGGCCTGGGCAACAAGAGTGAAACTAGGTCTCAAAAAAA